AGAGGCTTTAGTTATATTGCGGCAATGTTGTCCTCTTACGGCGCATCAATGAACAATTCAGAAGTTTCCCCTACGGCGCATAGTTCCTATACTTTCGTTCCTACTATAGTTCCTAACACTATACTTTCGTTCTGATTCGCTTTGCAATAAATAGAAGGCGTTCATCATACAATTGGAATAGCACAACTATACACCGCATTCAGACTCTTTATCTACGTACCCTGCAACGTGGGTAACGATAATAAAAATGTGACACGGTAGTGTTCAACACGCACACAAGTACAAATCTGGTTGCAGTGCAGAACGCTGTGTTTTCTGTTTGCATACTAGCTGATGTATTAATCTCGAGACTATTTGTTATTTAGTCGGTTAGCAACCAACAATTTCCTGTTTCTTTGGCGAACTGTGAATCAGTCAGTAGAAAGATCAATGCCGGCTGCTACAAAGGCGACACATCCTTTGTAGAAGTAAATTATACAGACGCTAATCACGTAAAAACGCACGCGCGCGGTAAAAACGTAAAGTCAGCCTACGCCGCGTGCTGCATCAAATGTGTGCGGGGGATGCGACACGACTTTCAGCCACTTATGATCAATGAGTCAATTCGACCTGGTTCGCCACGAGATGGTTGCTGGGCTGAGTGGAGCCGGTAAGCCTCTCTACAATTGCTATAGCGACAATAGGCAATATATGGCGAATTGGTGCGGTGTCAGTGGTCAGACTCTGTGCGCAAGGGATTAATTAATAACTCGTGTTTTGAGCGCTCCCTAATATTGGGAGTGGAAAAACATGTTACTGCTGCCTGAGTAAATACACATAATATCAAGAGCTAATAAATACCTAGAGTGTACAACGAGAAAACCGGAAAATAGTGCTATTTCACGGCAATATTATTCTATTTTGTAGGCCCTATGCGGTTCTAGACTAAGTTCATGGTATTGCGTTGAGCAGCATTCTTTGCTCTCTAAAATAAGACCAACCGCTTGTCTCTATTTATATTAGCTCTTGATAATATGCATACATACACGCGCGCACGCACACACGTACGCACGTAGATACGGGGTTGCCAGTTAGTGTTTGCGTGTGCGTGTGCAGGGACTGGTACTGTGGTGTCTGACAAGGCTGAGAACGACAGGCCATGCGTTATTAACTGCGCAGACCTGACAGGCGCGACAATCACATGACGGCGGTTTGACGTCGTTCAGCACTGACCCAACTAGTCACGTGATTTGATTGATAATTTGGTTTATTATGTGAATTAAGTGTTGCCACAAACTCTCTCCATGCGCACATACACGAGCGCACACAGACGCCGTGCCGTGACGCGCACCTGCAGATACACACGCACGCATGCACATTAGTGATAGCGAGAGCGAATAGTTGCAGGGGCCTAAGCTAATAATGAGAAGAAAAAAAAACAGGAAAAAGTCACTTAAGCTTCAAACCAGGGAAAAGTCGTTGCTCACTAATGATTGAACTAAAAAGCCTCTAAAGCACATTAGTGAATACGGGCGGCCAGACAGACACACACACGCGCGCGCGCGCACGCGCATTTGTTAAACGTGCGTGCCTGTATTCGGCCCATACACGTGCGGCCGCACACGCGCACAACCACACAAACACACACACACACACACACACACACACACACACACACACACACACACACACACACAAACACACACACATGCACCCGAACACACGCACACGCGCACACATGCACGTCTATTGCACAAGGAGGTTATTGCACAGTAATGAGCCTAGTTTTATGCTTGGCCTGGTCCCCTAGATCATGGCATTCATATTTATCGGTGAGACATTAAAGCAAGGATTTCAAACAGTCTTCCTGAGCGTTCTCACATTTCACCGACCCCTACATGCAGTACTTGCTGGTATTACTTGCGTGAGCTCAGGTGTTTAAAGTAAGGCTAATGTGTCTTAGAACACGCATACACCGTTATTTTCACAAAAATATACAAAAATCTGGTTGTTTATATCGTATTGACCAGGTTACGCAATGATGCCATTTGTTTCTCGCGAGACCTGGTCCCTGTACTTTGACATGGTAACGTGAATTAAGCACTTGAGATGTTGAACCAGTCTAGAACCACTAACCACTATGTCACTTGATACGATGCACTTTTGTCTGGTTGTTGCCAATTTCAACAGAATTGTCGCTATACGAAAGAATGTGTCTGCATTATTTGCTATTTTATATACCAAAACAGCATAATTAAAACACTCATTCTAATTTCATACCTCAATAACATGTTCACTATGAAGTGAAACTATCGATATATATATCTACATAACATATATATATATATATGACTATGACTATGACTATGATATATAACTAATATATAGAAACTGTGATATACGCTGAAATCCCATAAAATTTCACATTCACATGTATAAAAATCGTCCCTTGGTATAACGCATTAGTTGGCGTGAGTATAATTCACAATCAACCAGTAAAAACCCAAATCTCCTCGTGATATTTAAACGACATCTTTATGTTCACGAACAAGAATTTTGCTTGAATTGCAATTGACAGCGCATACTAACGTTATTTCTATGCCGTACCAAAATCAAAAGGTGTCACAAACCATTTTAGTGAAGAGGAAAGACAAAAGGGGAAAGAAAAGAAGTATTCTTTTCTGTCTAGCAAATAGTAGTAAAAAGTAGACTTGATTTGAAAGAGGGGTTAATATGTTAATGAAAAGTGCAATCTACCCAACCTTTCGTGTAGTTAAGTGCTCTCTATTTTGTTCATAATCAGAAATGTGATAAACGGATTGTCAGTACATGAATTTATAAGGGTACGTTTCGGCCTTTCGCAATGCTGGGTTCTAATGGAGGAAACCTATAATTTTGCCACCAAGAGAGCTGAAAATGTAATGATGTATATCGGGAGATTAGATATTGTTATTTTCAATATAGTTGCCATTTCACGTTTCAATTTTCCTATAGTCAAATATTTCCTTTCGCAATTAGTGGGCATTCTGTGACTTGCCTTCGTGGCCTTTCCATGTGAACTGCTTTATACATGCAATATATATTGATTGCACTGCCATCTGTCGTTGTTGCATTTGTTTCTCGTCTATCTGTGTAGAGTTTACTTCCTCAATATGCATCTCAACAAGGTGATCCGGATACTTTGGCATTCTCGGAACCATATCCTATGTGGTCTCATATTTACTCCTTCCGGATCATCAGCGTTCTCATCCATTTCTATAGACAAACACGCACCCGCACACATGCTTCTACTCACTCACTCACTCACTCACTCACTCACTCACTCACTCACTCACTCACTCACTCACTCACTCACTCACTCACTCACGTCACCCACTCACTCACCACCCACTCACTCACTCATCACTACACTCCACTCACTCACTCGCTCGATACTACTCACACACTTCCTCATCTCTCTCTCTCCTCTCGCTTCACTGGCCCTCTCTTTCTCTCGTCTCTCTCTCTCTCTCTCTCTCTCTCTCTCTGTCTCTCTCTCTCACTCACTTCCTCAATCTCTCTCACTCACTCACTTAAGATCACTCATTTAAGATCACTCACCCCCAGTTACTCAGCCGTCCGACCCAAACCAACCAACCAACTAATCAGCCATCCATATACAGATGTATTGTATATTAAACACATTATTAACTCTTAATTACACTCATTTGTAAGATTCATATGTCTCACCAAATGAGTATGCATACGGTGGTTCAGTGATGTCGAATACACATTCTGTATTTATCACATGGCTCCATAATTCATTTGGTATCTTCCTATTTTCGTACATTTGTGATTTTATCATCATCATACGAGAATTTGCATACGATTTCACTATTATATTTCCGCCCATGTGTTTAATCAGCTATAGCTGGTAAATTAGCATATATTCGCACAATACAATATATATATATACATTATATACAGGAGTCTATCAATATATTGAATATATAATTGAATATATAATCAATATTGATAGACTCTGATTATCATACTATATAATATATAATATATACATATATATAATATATATATATATATATATATATATATAAATAAAACGAGTAACGGCAGTGCTATCCCGATATAATGACGCAGTATATATATATATATATATATACTATATATGTGTGTGTCGTGTGTGTGTGTGTGTGTGTGTGTGTGTGTGTGTGTGTCTGTGTTGTGTGGTGTGTGTGTGTGTGTGTGTGTTGGTGTGTGTAGTGTGTGTGTGTGTGCGTGCGCGCGGTGTGTGTATGTGTTGTGTATATTTATTTATTTATTTATTACAGAAAGAGAGAGAATGAGAGAGAGAGAGAGAAAGAGAGCATAAAAGAGATGGAGAGAGAACAAGAAGGAGTACGAAACAGGGATAACAAAGCTGCATGGTGAAAGAGAACGGGAGAGACGGGGAAAAAGAGATAGAAAGAGCGTGAAAGAGAGAAACAACGATGGGGTAAGGAGATTTACGTCCACCTGCATTTTACTGCTTCCCGTCGAACAGCGGCAGCTTGCAAAATCATTTCTTAAATTGCATGGCAGCGGCAATAATAAATGATTCAGCAACGAGAATAGGTCATTTAAATAAAGGTGTTCTATTGTTATCATTTGCACTGGAATAGAAAATGCATCGTTACCTGTATTACCCCCGTCGCAACCACGACGGCAACGTTAATAATGATATTGTCGATTATGGTGATGATGACTACGACGATGATGATGGTGCTGCTGCTGCTGATGATGATGATGATGATGATGATGCTACTACTGCTGCTACTGCTGCTGCTGCTGATGATGATGATGATGATGGCAATATTGATGCTTTTACGTAGAGTAAAGTAGAGAGACCTTGAAGATCACGATCGTCGTTAAGATGCTTAATTATAATTTTAATTACCACTATGGTTATAATAAAGCAAATAGATACGTGAAGGATAAGGCCTACAATAAAATCGATAACTAGTTATTTTAGGCAAAATACTTACTTTTCCCTTGTTCACGTAACCAAACTCTTGGGCAACTATGCCCGCCATTTCCTCACCACCTTCAACGTGCACAACCCATTCATTGGTATAGTGCTGTTCCGCTACAGCACTTTGCACGAGCACCGCCAAGAGGATGGCCGCTAGAAACAGTTCGCTCCGTCGCGGCGACGTCTTCGTCATAGTGATCATGCTTGCTCGCGTGCCGGTACCCTCTGATACTCCTCGCTGACGATTTCCGACTTATAGGCGCCTAGAAACGTTCAACGGCAGCAGCAGATTCGCCGCGACGATGAAGCATCAATGTGCGATGTGCGCACGCAGCCGTATAACGCAACCGCTGCCTTGCAAGTCACCGGCTGAATAAGCATGCAAGCGATCGGTGTCGAACTACGTGGTGCGTGGACCATAGTAGTGCGGCGCGGGCGCGCGTTCATGCCCCGCCGGCCTATATGTAAGCAGCGCACGCATGAGGGTCATGACGATGCGAAGATAATGCGACAGATGGCGACCTATCAGCTGACAGTGTGATACAGAGGATCAGATATAGGCCTAACGTCTGCGTGCAGCCGAATGATGGGTGTTGCTATCCCCCGGGCGTGGAGGGAGGTCACGTGATAACGTTGACGATGACGTTCAAAACGTTAAACCTAACTCCAACACCGCCAACACTAACCCTCACACTAAATATATATGTGTCGCCGCGCTATATATAGGCATTGTGATCCACAAAAATTAATCTATGGTGTGGGGACAGATATCATGTAGCAAAACTTTACTTAACCCAACCTAATCCTACCCTAACCTAACCCTAACTACATACCCTAACCTAACTAACCCTAACTAACCCTAACTCCCTGAACTCACTCTAACCCTGACCTACCTTCCCTAACACTATCCAAAACTAGTGCTGCTACGTTGCGGTCACCTCCCTCCACGCCCGGGGAATAGCATTACCCCCGAAGGGTACCCTGCCATGTCGTCCGGTAAACGTAGGTGGCGCTACAGGGCATTGGCGAGTTGCTATATACCATTGCGATCTCTAAAGACGGATACCCGTTGATGCCTCTAATTTATTGATAGTACGGGGATCACTACGACTATATCGAAGGGAAACAACTAAGCCATGCCCTCGGGAACATTAAATTCTGTAGGACGATGAATGGGGGGTCATGAATGGGTTCGGGGCCTTCTTGTGATGTTAATGTGTAGAATTCGTTTCATTATTTTCGTATCTTAGGATAGGCTATGGGTAGATAAGCAAAACAACCTTAAAATTAAATTAACTACTAATAATCTAATTTACTGTGGTATGTCACACTTGTGTTCAAATTTATAGTGATATCTTTGTGGAACGACCGTTTTCTGAGCATCTTGTTTTCTCGTCAAGGTTTATAGCGGCGAGCCTCTCCAGGTATTATGCACCGTCTGAGTCAGACATGTCTCCATCTACAGATTTTCCTTAATTATTAATTTACCGCGATTTACATTCTGATGATCGGCTGCTTCGTTAACTAATTCTGAACATCTGTAAATTACGATTTTGTTAGAAATTGCTCGATCAAACAGTTCCTGACAATGCGTCTCACTATATATAATATACTCGATAAAATTACATTCTCCTCGCCTCACAACTTTACTCCAAATACGTACGGCTGTTTCACTCTCCGCTCTTCTTATTGGTGCCATGGAAATTATGTGCTCGATGTTCTACGCAGCAGGCAACAGTAATAAACAATAAATTTGCGTGCAAACACGGTCAGTTAACTTGCGAGAAAGCCCGCAGAGTGTACAGGTAAGGTAGGAAACCAAACATCATACAAGCACCACACAAACACAACACAACACCACACACACAACAACACAACACAAACAACAACACAACAAACCACACACAACACACACAACACCCACCCGCGGACGCCCCATTCCTTCGTTTGTTTTTGGTTGGTGTTGTGTGGGTGGCGCCTTGCGACCGGGGTGTTTGTTTGTGTCGCAGAGTAGACAACAGCGCGCGCTCGCGGCTGCGCTGCGCCGCATAACGCTACATTATGTCACTGTATAGTGGGACTACGTTAACACGGCTATATCGGTGTAATATGTCTGTGCCCTCTCTCGTTTCCTCATTACTTGCGCCTCTGTATGTGTTTAGTTCGTGCGATGGATGCTTTCTTTTTTGCGACTCGGTTGAATGTGTTTGGACTTGTGTGTGTGTGTGTGGTGTGTGTGTGGCTGTGTGTGTGTGTGTGTGTGTGTGCGTGTGTGTGTGTGTGTGTGTGGTGAGTGTGCGTGTGCGTGTGTGAGAAGAGAGAGGAGTTGTGTGTGTTGTGTTGTGTTGTGTGCGTGTTGGTGGTGTGTGTGTGTGGTTCGTTGTGTGTGTGTGTGTTATCGTGTGGTGTGTTTGTGTTGGTGTGTGGTTCGTGCTGTTGTGTGTGGTGTGTGTGTGTGTGTCCGTGTGTGTGTGGTGTGTGTGTGTGTGTGGCTGTGTGTGACAGTGTGTGGTGACAGAGTGTGTGTGTATGTATGTGTTGTAGCCCTGTGGTGTGTGTGCTGTGTGTGTTGTGTGGTGTGTGTGGTGTGGCTGTGTAGTATGTGTGTGTGTGTGTGTGTGTGTGTGTGTGTGTGCGCGTGTGTGTGTGATTCAAGGAAAGTGTCTGTTATCAGCAGCTGGCTTTTATGCATTTTAGCGGCTAGTTTGCTGTATATAGATTTATAACGATTATAAACTTTGTATATAGATTAACATCTATTACAAGAAGACACTACATAGTACGGACGCTGGTACGTAGACCTAGAAATGGCTGTATACATGTAACGACGGCATTAATTTGAAATGAGATGTGCGAGACGTAGGAAACAACTAAAAGATATGTGCAACCCCGACGAACTGTATCTGTTTCGCCTGTGAAACAAATGTTTCTGTTTATAGCGACGCCTACAAACACGGAAAGTAATACGGGTTATGAGTGTACAATTTGAAGATGTGTTTCCGGTAATTAAGTTCCCCGCGTGTCGAAATTCGCTAATGTATATAAATGTGTATGTGCGTGTACGTGGAATGCACGGAGTTTAGAGAGGAGACATTCATATATATCAGAAGTAGATAATATGGAAGGAGTGTGAATAAACAAGGAAAATTTGTCATTTACTAGCCTTAGAATACCTACGATTTACTACGCGTAACTACAACGCGTACTGTTGTGCCGGGTGCTACACGTGTCGACGTGCTTGACGTTACACGTGTATCACGCGCCACAACCCTGTGTGGTATACGTTATAACGGTATACGGTACAAGAATGAGATCGTACGTGTAGCACCCGGCACAACACTAGACGGTACACGTGTAGCACACGGTACAACCCTGTATATGGTATACGTTAGAACGGCTGAAGGGGTCGTTGTCGTATCAGGTACTACATATATGTACCCTAGGTACATATATGTATACACAAAGTGTACCAGACTTGTACTACAAAAGTGTACCCTAACCCTAACCCTAACCCTAGCCCTAGCCCTAACCCTAAACATACCTCATATAAAAATATAAACATAATACTAAACAACCTAAAACTACATCGGGTACATGTATGTAGTACCTGATACGACAACAACCCATCGTGCGTTAGAACGGTATACGGTACAAGAATGAGATCGTATTTCAGCGCGTGCGCTTGAATTTGGTATTTCTTATTAGAAAGACTTATTATAATTCTTTACAATTGTTCGCTTTAGAAACTAGAATTATTGCTGAATCAGACAGTGTAAGCGGCTCGTCCCGGGTGCGTTTCTGGCGCGTTCGGGAAATTTTCGAAGAAAGCCTACTCTTTCGCATAAACTCACATTGCAAAGTGGCCATTTTTAGTGTGTATAGGCAAAAGCTTGTTTACAAAAAAAACATCGAAAGATTTTTGAGTTAACAACAAAACAATATGATGTCATTTGCGACGTGCATTGAGAGGATGGCACTAGAGGTGTAGCACGGGCTACAACACTGGGCGGTAAACGCGGAACAACACTGTGCGGTACACGTGTAGCACGCGGTACAGCCCTGTATGGCACACGTTAGAACTAAACGGTACACGGTACAGGAACGAAATCGTATTTCAGTGTATGCGTGCGCTTGAATTTGCTATTTCTTATTAGATAAGCTTAGCATTCTTTGCAATTGTTAATTTCAAAAACTAGAATCTTTGCTGAATCCGACAGTGTAAGCGGCTCGTCCCGGTTGCGTTGCTGCATGGGGCGGCAGGGAAATTTTCGAAGGAGGCCTACTTTTTCGCGTAAACTCACATTGCAAAGTGTCCATTTCGAGTGTGTACCAGACACACTAGAACAGAGAGACCAGAGACTGTTCAATTTCCAGCCATATTGAAAACAGCTCGACACTATAGTGCCACAGGCGGTTGGTAGTCCTATGACAGCTAGGTTAGACAGCGGTTATCATAGTAAACAATGTAAGCAGCGGATTTTTTTCCCTTCATTTTAGAAATATAAATTAATGATATATCACAGAAATACTATAAGAAAACGTTAGAAAATATATTATACTGCATTTAGCTTTAGTATTTTGTTTTTATTGACGCATATTTATTGGAATATAAACACCAAACTGGACAACTCAAATTAAATGGAAAATACTGTAATCACCACTTTGTTTTTAATACGTTGTATTTAAAATGGCATAATATTAAACATGCTCTTGATAACATTACAGGTTTTTAGTATTACCAGTGATAACAAAATTATTAATATTTATCGGATACAAACACATATTGAAGCTAGTTTAATATATTCCCATATGCGCGTGGTAGATCAGGCCGTGATCGTCTCACAGGGGTAACACGTCGGGTCTTGTACCTCGACTGCCAGGCAAGTTCCGTAATGACCAACCACGACTGACAGAACAGAAACACGGATTTATGCAGTACTTAGCTATATATAATAGTGTAGCGGTCAAGGGTCTACAGTGATCACGTAACCCGCGTCCTACGGTGATTCAAGTATAACGGGTAGAAATTCACCTCCGTCACGTGACCTGCGTTGCAGAGATGTTAAGGTGACACGAATCCCTGGATCTTACAGGGATGGTCACGTGGGGTAGCCGCGTGACCATTATGGGTATATAAGCTGCT